TGATGTGTGTGTTTGTGTGTGTGTGTGTGTGTGTGTGCGTGTATATATATCTCTCATTGTGTGTGTGTGTGTATATATATATATATATATATATATCATTGTGTGTATGATATATGAATTAGTGATCTGTGTATGTGTACTGAGTGTGCAGGCATGGACAATTGATTTTTGTCTAACTTTTGGGGTGTATAGTGTCTGTGCTTGAATTGGTGATAGGTACGCATGTGCCTAGGCTAGTTTGGATGTGTATGTGCCTGAGTTGGTAGTGTGTGTGCGTGTGTATCCAATTGATTTGTTTGTATAATGTGCAATTATGTCACACCCTCCTGTCTAACAGTGCAATATTGAGATCCTGAGAGTTGGCCTGACCCCACAGGGCAACACCCTCCCCCCCCAAGCAGTGGTGACAGAGCGGACAGGCCAGCACTACTGGCCCCACCCCCTGATCCTGCAGGTGATGGCAATGGAGCAGAAGGGAGGAGTGGGACCAGCAGACGGGGGCGGGGGAAAGCCCGGCCCTGGCCCCAGCACGGCGGGGGTGGGGGAAGAGAGGAAACGGACCTGGTCACAGGCCTCTGTTCCCAGCCACCCCCCTGCCCCCCCATCATTCTTGACAAGCAATTGGCTAGTTATTAAATAGCACTCATCTGCTTAAGTCAACACTATCCAACAATATTAGCTACTGACTTGCTTAGAATTCTAGTCTTCCATCTAATGGGAATATTTCCAACACTTTACACCTTCTATTTCAACCTATTTACCACTTCTGTATTGGCAGCTACAAACACAAGCAGTGTCTGCTTCTTTGCATTTTACTTACCAGTTAGAAATTTAAATCACTGTGAAACCAAGATTTTGTATAAGAATATAATGAACTAATACATGCATTACTTACATCAGTACCATACTTCCTTGTGGCTTGTGCTGCAAGAGATTTAATTTTTTCCCTGTAAAGCTGGGCACCTCGGCTATTGTACTTGGCATTGGTATCATTTGTTGAGCACCCATGTTGATGGAAAAAAGCAGACTGTAAACACACAAACACATATACATCCTGAGACAGAGATTAAATACAATACTACAAAAGGAAGGTTTCCTGAATTGTAGCTAAATGTTTCATACCAGAAATGTGCAATTATTTGGTACTGAGGACCACTTGGGAAGTTCTGATGAGCAGTCACCGCCTGCAGGTGGCTGCTCATTGCACTGGGCGGGTGAAGCAGGTGGAAGGCAGCCAGGAGCTGAAGCCCTGCACACTGAGGCAGGATCTGCCTGGCTGAAGCCTCCTCCCCCCACTCAAAGCAGTACAGCAGGGGTAGAGGATGAAGCTAGAGGCGAGGGGAACAGAACAGCAGCCAGCCAGCTGCAACCACACCAGTAACAGCCCCACCAGAAGTTGTGCGCACTAGTCGGGGCCTGGGCTGGAGCACATAGGCTGCAGTGTGGCACAGGAGGCAAGCGAGTAGGGCTCAGTACTAGAAGGGCAGCAACAGGCCAGATCCAGTCAGCTGGCAGGCTGGATCTGGCCCGCAGGCCGTATTTTGCTGGCCCCCATGTTATACCCTTTTAAAAATCCTATCTATTTCTCCCAGTCCTTAATGTGTGCTAACAGTTTTCTTCTGTTAAAAGCACCACATGGCAAGTGTGCAAGCCTCCAGACAACTCTTGTTTTGCAAGTCGCTATGGCAGCGATTCTCAAACACAGTGCCAGAAGATCTTTTTAAGGGTGCTGAAGATTTGATATAAAGGAATATTTTCTAGGGGTGCACCGATAGAGATTTTTTGGGCTGACAGCGATGGCCAATTTTTAATTAACCATATTGGCTGATACTGATCCAGTTACGATATGCAGCCCCACAGCACAAACAGTGGTGTCAGGCTGGTAAGTCTGTTGTGGGGGAAAGCAGACTGGGGCCCCCGCACAGTAAAGGAGGGAGTGGGGCAGACCGTGAGGCTCAGCAGGAGCCAGCCACACCAAGGACTGGAGCAATCCCCATGGTATTCCCCTGCCTCCATTTTCCCCTTCTCACCTCAATTTCCTGCACCGGCACAGCCATAAACAACCCCACGGTCCTGGCCAAAAGCCCCTGGTAGGTAGGGGCTTCTGGCTGGGGGGCATGGAGCCAGGCACACCCTACTTGAGAAGCCTGCCGTGGCTTCCCATGGGTCCTACTGCCCCTGACTCCTGTCATCTTTGACAGGAGCCAGGGGCAGATAAATATTCATTTTCTAAATTTTTTAGGGGCCCCGTGGGCTGGATAGAGTGGCCTGGCAGGCCGAATCTGGCCCGTGAGCCATATTTTGCCCACCCCGATCTAGATTTAGTTTCTATATCTATATAGAGATAGAGATAAACACCAGATGGTCCACTGGAATATTTGGTTAGTTTAGTTTACGTTTCATCTGCTCTACATATTTAGAAACTATCAAAACTCCATTAAGGCATGTCATGTCTTGTCTTTTGACTGCGTCACAATTTTAGTATAGAAACTAATAAATAACTTCCAGCATCTCTTTTGTCTTATTCTCTGGAACAGCCAATATTTATTAGGCCAAGCCATCAGAAGTTTCAAAGTAATTTGCTGTATCTTGCTAGATCTATCAAAGATACACATGTTCTGACTGTATGCCCAAAATCATAGGTGGGCAATTATTTTGGGCAGAGGGCCGCTTACTGAGTTTTGGCAAGCCATCATGGGCCTCATGACAGGCAGCCCAGGGCAGAAAAATATTAATTTTCTAAATTATTTTAAGGGCCCCACAGGTCAGATAGAATGGCCTGGCGGGCCACATCTGGCCCCCAGGCCTCATTTTGCCCACCCCTGCCCTAAGTGTTGTACCTAGCTCTAGAAATAGTAAAACACAAGAGTGGGGACATAAAAATTGTACTGAAGTAAAGAGGGGCTGGAAATTTACCACATCAGTTGCTGTGTGATAATGGTATATCTGTTCCTACCACATAGTAAGTGAAAGCAAAACTGAGACAGCTTAGCTCTTAGTTTAGGAGAACACAATTTCCATGGTTTATCTTTGACTTGCCAAGAGACCGCAAAATGAACATGAACAGTTACCAAGGAGCAGTTGATGCGCTAAGTCCTTGCCCCCTTCTAACATGTCGCAGTTTACCTGTCTACACCACCTCCTTTGCCATGACCCAATTCCAGAAAAGGTAGTCTGATCTCAACTTGCTTAGAATTTTAAGAAAGTAGCAAAGAAAGTAGTATTTTTAAGAAAGTAGTATTCATTGGCATGCACAAAAATACAAAAATTCCAGAGGTTTGGAAAGTTAGCTCCTTTATTCCTAAATTCTTTACAATACGTGAAATGAGTAGCTCTTAATAACAGATAACAATACAGCTAAATGAGCAGCTTTTAATAGTAACGTCTTTCTGTTTTCATGGTAGGCAAATACCTGAAAACAGAAAAACATTAAGATATACTTACAGCACTAGCATTTCCTCCAACTTGCATACATCTCAACTGAAACCAAGACCAATTGGAATCTAATTCTGTAGACCTAAGCAGAGGAAACATTTTTAGTATTAGTTTCCAAAACCATTTTAAACACCTCTTTTTAAAGCTATTTTAAGAAAAGTTAGCAGCTTGAAAGAAATACTACAGTTTAAGTCCTGCTCTCTCCCGGGGCATAAAATCCACGTTAATTAAGAAATTAATAGAGGAAAAGAACATCAGTATTTGAGAAAATATGCCCTTTAACTAGCAATCCACGTGTGTTTCCTTTAAAAGGTGTGGCTGTGAGGCACTTAATGGACAGAAAAGCTGAGTCTTGGATGCTGAAAAGGGGAGTTCCAGATTAAGTTGTTGGTCAACAGAGAGGATGCTATAATGACAAAAATCAAAGCTATATCACAGAGAATGAAAAACTGACTGGATGCCAGACTTTTTTTGATATACAAGCTAGGAATCATCCATTAAGAAGTATCCTAAAAAGTTTCTGCAGGACAAGAAAACTGTTTCCTGCAAGGCACTGTTTACAATGTTCAAAATGAAAAAAAGGCAGTTTCTTAACTTTTTTTTCTGGGAAATAAAGCATCCCAGCTATCACAACAGCAAAGAGCCATATTTCACAACTGCAGGTTTAAAGACTCCATGCATATCCTCTTGTTAAACTTTTCTGATGCATATACCCAATGAAACAGTAAACTACAGAAGAAAGCTGATATCAGTGAGCACTGATGTAACAATGCTGCAGAAACCTTGATCTGGAAGAACCATAAACATGAAACTTAGTTTAAGTATATGCCTATTCCGTACCTCTTCAAAGAAGTTGGATTAGGTTGCCAATAAACTGTGTGTGTAATGGAACAAATGTACATTATGATTTCTATGAAATCCTCACCACACATGTACTTCCCAAGCAGCTAGCAGCAACTTTTGAGCACACCAACATGAGATGGATATAAATTAGTAATTTAAAAAGAAAAAATGTTGTCTCCCATTATCAAACACCTGTTTAGAACACAAAACTTCAAGGCTCTGATCGAAGAGCAGACATAGCTCACCACTTCTAACCAAAGAAAAATTGTAACTATTTACCGAATGAAACTCAAGTGAACACCAAGCGATCGATGAGTCCCCGAGCAATCAATACAAAGAAAAACACCATACGTTATGCTTGCCCAGCTAGGATTTTTAGCTCCACAGTCAAAACACACCTAAAAGATAAGAAATGAATAACAGGAATTTAATATAACTCCTTCCAATTAAAGTCACATTTAGATTAATTCTTCTTAGCATCTACCTAGTGCATGCGATGTGAATCCTGAACACATGAGAGCTGCTCCACCCCACCCCCCACCCCAGGCGGACAGATCAGGGTTGGGCAACACCTTCTGCAGCTGGATCTGGCCCATCACCTAGATTTGGCCCACAGAGGCACCACTGAACTAGTTAATTTTGTATTAACCCCATTTTACAGATAGGGAAACAGAAGCTAAGGTATTTGTCCAAGCTCACATAACTAACCAGAAACAGAAAGTACCAGAATTCCTGAAGTCTTGGCTCCAAGACTGAACACAATCCACTAGAACACCATAGCATCTTTTTTATGACAAAGCAACCATTTCCATTCAAACTAACCCTGACTCACATCACCTGTTTAGTTTAAGCATCAAGATGTTTCAAGATGGAAAATTGTCATCACATCTGCCATGCATCTAACATAATGCTTGCTACATACAACTACAACATTATGGTATATTAATAACAAATGTTCTTTTTGTTAAAAATATTTCTGGAAGGGAAAACATACTTCCTTGCAATCAATTTTGGTTATCGGAACAAGGTCAACTCATTTCTATCAAAGTGATATAAATAATAATAAATCATGATTTGAACAAGCAACAGTCACTTTTTTCATTTATAATTTTCAGTTATTTTCCTCAAGGTAAGTTGGCAACCATTAAAAAACATTAATGAAGTATCAGCTCCACACACTATGTGGCACTGCTGTTTGCTAAGGAATATGCCTAATAAAAGTGTAATAAAAATAAATGTTTATTGCTTAAATAAATGTGCTTGGATAGCATGCGAGACACTGATGACTGATATTTATAATTTATGTTAAGCACTGTTTAGATAGAAATTGAAATTAAAATGCACAAAAAACAGCATTTTAAAAATTGTTTTATTAGTTAAGTAAAACTACTTTAAAATGCACTTTATAAGAAAAAAATATTTAAACATATTCTTCAATTAATACCTTTTAATAAACTAAGTCTGTTTGTTTTCTTAGTAGATTTAACTGGCTCTGGTTAGCACAGCATTCTATATTTTAGAACTAATGGATCTGTTTCTCCCACTTAATTTTTATTTATCCGTTAGAAAGGACGCACAAGTTTTTCAGCTTTTATAACTTCCTGCTGGTTTCTCAGGTTTGAATAAACTAATCACTGAGCTGAAACAGTTGTACAAACTGAGGCACCTGCATAAGAGGTTATTGTATAGGACTTCCAAACTGTAACCAGATACATGACCCATAAGTAACTACAGCCAGCTGTGTTTTGATTTTTGTTAAAAATAATAACAGTAAACATATACAGCTGACTTTTGAATAATTGACACTTAAATAGATTATTTGGATTTCAGGCTTTTTGCATTAAAAACATATGGGTGTATGTTTTTTAATGGGTTTATTTTTAATAAGTAAAATTAAAAAAAAAATGAATTTAACCAAGATATCTGATTTTTTTTTTCAATTATCAACGTCCTACAAGAGATGTGTACTTATGTTTTCAATGTTATTACTGTTTGAGAGAGATAAGTCACCTGCTGTTTAAAGAACTCATATCAGCATGGTCTCAAGAATGCATCTAGTACAGAAATTTAAATATTATTAAAAACAAAAAGTACTGCAACAACTTCTCCCTCTTTTTGGTAATAACAGATTCAAGCAATATGTACCCGATAATGGCAACTGGACCTATTTATTCCCAGTTACTGATAACAGTAACACCTGTATCCCAAATGCTCCACTTCTTTTTATGGGGATGGAAAGAGCTCCTAGCAACAAAATTACACGGATTTTTCTGAGTGTTTTGGGGACACAACCCATGTATTGCATGGGCCAGCTCACTATAGCTTTTGGTGTGGCTGTTTGGGAACAGGGCCAGACTATCTGATATTATACCTACAACATGGGAACTGTCTCCCAACACTGGAACAGTTAGAATGGGAAACCACCACATAGACAATTTACTGTCTACAGGGAGGATTCTTTCCTTCTTGCTTTCATGGAGTTTCTCAAGGTTACTCTGAAAAGTTTGTACACCTTTTTCATTCAACTTAAGAAAAAAAAACCAAAAAACCAGGGTGGATAAAAGTCAATGATTAAAAAAAAATCAAAACAATCAGATTTTTTATTTAAATCAGATTGTTCTGATTGAATCGTATTTTTTTTTGTTAAGATGCTTTAAAAAAAACACCCAACAAACCTATATAAAGATAGTTTTAAGATATGTTAAAGCTCAAAGATATCATCATTAAAGGTATACCGACACATCAGTGCCATACTGGATCAGCATCGATAAAAGGAAAATTAACGTTATCACTATTGACTTTTTTTCACCTGTGTAGCCGATAACATACCGATAAATATAATATACCTTCCGGCCAGGGTCCTTGGACACTGCATGCATGTGTGCAGCTGCACACATCCAGGAATGCAGCCAGGCAGTGTGGAGAGCAGTGCCCTGAAGATAAGTCTGTGGAGAGGAAGGGGCAAGGGGAGAAGATCGAGGCCCCCACAGTGAAGGAGGGACTGGGGCAGGGGCTGGAGCAGGGCAGTGAATGGGATCCTGGGCCTGGGGCTGGAAGTCTGTCCAGAGGCAGTGGCAGCAGTGAGCTGTGCCTCCCACTGCTGAATGGGCAAGGGAGCCAGCGCACGGCTCCCAATGCAAAGGCAGCAGGGCAAAGTGCCCCAAGCTCACAGCGGCCAGCCTGCCTCCACCTTTGCCCCACTCAGCCATGGTTAAAAGCGCCCTGGTGCTTAAAAACAGTGGTGGCAGCACTTGAATTAAAGCTTATTTGATAAGCTTTAGTTCAAGCACCCTCACCACCATTTTTAAGAGCCAGGACATTGATCCTCTGGACAAGCTGCCTGCGCCTCTCTCCCATTCTCCGCCCCAGCCCTGGGATCCCATTCACTGCCCTGCCCCAGCCCCTTCCCCACTCCATCCCTCACCGTGGGGGCCTTGATCTGCCCCCCCCCCGCCCCCCAACTCCTTCCCTCTACAGACTTACCTGCAGGGCGCTGCTCTCCATGCTGCCTGGCTGCATTCCTGGACACATTCATGCATGCAGCTACATTCCTGTAAGCTGGTTATTGGATCGGTATCACCCAATATGCCTGGTGAATAAATCGGCTATTGGCCAAGAAAATCTTTATTAATGCACCTCTAATCATCTTGGAATAGGGATTATAACTTCTAATTATATACTAGTTGAGACTATATATTCATGTAACCTTTTTAGAAAAGGTTTTATAAATAGGTCAAAACAGGCTATGGACTGTATTAGGGGCCCAATCTTATAGGGCTCCCAGACGCTCCTTTATATGGATTAGTAAAGAGTAAAAGAAACCCAATCTACCCAACGGGACTCATTGCTCAGTCCAGAAGATCTCATTAAGCATCTCTGTGATGCTTAGTTTCAGTTCTCAAACTGTGGATTTGTCTCTCTAGAGATAACATCCTTGTTAACAGCAGGATATGGAGATGAAAGATGACAGACCTGATTATCCACCCATCAGCCTCTCTGCAAGTTTGTGTAAACAGAGTCAAGCCCTTACTTCTCTCTAAAAGTGCAGTTTCAAGAAGTTAAATGAATAGAGAGGGTTGTTGGGGGTGAAGTAGTTGGGGTAACGACAGTCCCCTTAGAATAGGGTGGATGCAGGCAAGTCCTTGTCCCTTCAAATTGCAGGCAAAAACTCTTTTACACCAAACAGGTCTTGTTTTTAACATGAGTTAGCACAACAGACTTGAAGCTCAGCACAGAATCCAACAATTAATACAGCGCACAAAAGAAAAATAACAGAACACCATTGGGTGGTTATACTTAGAACAATTCAGTGTTTTAAAAGGCCAGCATAATAGGTACCATAAAAGATTCCACACTGTTCTATCTATAAACATTTCTGAATTTCATCATCTTGAAATTAATTGCATCATCTAGGAAATTTGACTGCCATATCATAAAGAAATTCAGTGGTTTCACTGGCTCAGCATCAACCTCTAGAATAAACTACCACATTCTCTCTGAAAATTCACAGGATGAAATTACTTAATTTTTAGAATAGTGGCACATGCAGAAGGAATGCATACTACTTTGGGAAAGTAATGTAATGTAAAAACTGCAGTTTTTTTCTTAAGATACTATGTATTCCTGTGATGCGAAAGAAGTAGAACTAGCTGGTTCATTAATTTAAGTCACAAGTGTTTTGCAAAGCATTCTGAATTTCTAAATCACTTCTCACTGTATCATCCTGTCATCAATTGTGACAGGAAACAGAAATGTGGTTAAAAAATACTAATACTAAACATCACTTTCCACATGAAAAGAAGAGTAGGGTTTTGGACACACATTAATTTGCTGCACTCCCCCTGGTTAGAGTGCAACCAAGTTGGTTCAAAGGCATGTTCTCCTACCCCCAACCTCCTTAGGAACCTATAAGTCAGGGGTAGGCAACGTTTTTTGGCTGGAGTGCCAAAAAATCCGACATGCCAGAGCCCAGAGCAGCTTTTTGCAGGTGGCCCACGGAGCCTGGTCTGCTTGCAGCCTCCCCGCTGCCTGCTGGAAGCAGCCTGGGCTCTATGGCTGGCAGCAGCTGCTTAGAGCCCAGGCTGGCGGTGGTGTGCAGAGCAAAATGGCCTCGCGTGCCATGCTCAACACGTGTGCCAGGGGTTGCTGACCCCTGCTGTAAGTGCTGACATCAGCTGAAGGTGGGCTTTCTGCAGCCTTTCTGCCCAGTGGCAACAGTTAGGAAGTTTATATGAAAAGTAGCTTGAGCACTAGATAGTCGCACCTTTGTTTACTCCACACCAAATCTGGTGCGAAAACAAATCTTAAAACATAGTACTAAGAGATTTTGCTACATTAGAGAGAGAATTTAGCAGTAAGTAGTATAAGAGTGCACTAGTTTACCAGCTTGTATTTCCTCCCCACATCAGCAAAAAACAACACAAATTAAAGTACAGAGAGCAGAAGAGATAAAGATAAGAAAATGCCAAGAAAAAGAGACAGGATACAGAGCCAGGTATGACCAACTATAAAAACAAACAACAGAAACAAAATATTTTTGCAAACAGTTTACCTAAGACTGAATTCTTACAAACTTTAAGAAACACAGATACTAGGAAGTTACTTGAGACAATGCACTGTTGCCCTGTGCATCTGAAAATGTCTTTACTGAAGGGTTAGCTAAATCTAGTATGTGCAATGGAGTTACTCTTCTCAAGCTAGTCTAGCCCATGTTTCTCAACCCTAAGTAGCAAGTACTCCCTAACTTCTGAAAAATTTAATAAGTACCCCAACACTCCATTTTCCAGGGGATTTTATATTTACAGACTAATATGTGCCATACGTTGGAAGAAGGGCCATGTATATAAGGCTGTGACATGACAGATGTCTGATCTGGTTGCCACCTTTTACACCAGGGGTGCACAACTCAAGTATGTACCTGGGCTAGAAGTGATGTTGGCCAAAGCTAGGACGGCTGAACGCCAAATAATTACTGGGGAATTTAAAGCGCTGCATAATGCGTGGCACGCCAAATTTTTGCCATAGTTTTGAGAGGAGGAAGGGGCAAGAGAGAGAGGAAAAGAGGACAAGAGAGAGACAGACAAGGAGGCAGCTGCTGCCAGCCACGGAGCCTGGGCTGTTCCCAGCAGGTGGCTGGGAGGCTGCAAACAGCCCGGGTTCTGTGGCTGGCAGCAGCTACCCAGAGCCTGGGCTGGCTGCAGCCAGGAAGCTGCAGAGAGTGGAGGCTCCGGCACCGCGCACCTTGGAGCAGATGTGGAGGGGGCCCTGAGGCAGCACAGCCTGGAAAAGCCCGGTGCTGCTGCCAGCCCCCGCCTGTAGCTAGCCTGGGCTCTGGGCAGCTGCACCACGCAGTGGGCAGGCTGCAAACAGCTGCACAGGGCTCCGCAGCCCTGGCATCTGCTCCATACCGGCGACTGCACACACGACTCAGAGCAGAGAGCGGGGATAGGGTCTGAGGCAGCGCAACCCTCCCCCGCACTCTGCTCTGAGGCGTGTGTGCAGCCACCGGTGTGGAGCAGATGCCAGGGCTGTGCAGCCCAGTGCAACTGTTTGCAGCCTGCCTGCTGCAGCTGCCCAGAGCCCAGGCTGGCTACAGGTGGGGGCCGGCAGCAGCCCCAGGCTTTTCCTGGCATTTGGCGGCAGCACTGGAGGAGGCAGGTTGGGGGGGGCTACGGTGAATACTGGGGTGGCAGCAGCCACCCTTCCATCGCTGCAGCCCGCCCCAAGTGCCAGGAAGCGCCTGGGGCCACTGCCAGCCCCAGCCTGCAGCAGCAGCCTGCTCTCTCCCACGCATAGTGAACTGGGCCCCAGGCAGGCCGGGTCGTGGGGCAATCCCCACAGTTCAGGAGGGAGTGGGACAGCACCCTGTTCCTACCGCACTCCCTCCTGAACTGTGGGGGTCTTGGTCTGCTCCCTCCCCAAGCCCAAGCAAGATAAAGAAAGAAACTTACCTGCCTGTGGCTGGGTTGGCAGGGAGTGTGCAGGTGTGTGCGTGCCCGCCTTCCCCCTGTGGGCGGCTGGGGGTGGGGCAAGTGGCCGGACATGAACCCAGAGGCTGAGGGAATGGTGGCGCCCCCTTGCTATGGGGGTTTTCAGTGCCCACACACCCCTGCCTGTTTCTCAGATACCCCCAGGGGTATGCGTACCACAGGTTGAGAAACTATGGTCTAGCCTAATGGAGAGCACCTGCAGTGTGAAACGACACTAGCTGCTGCATCCATGGTGCATCCACGCTGGCAGTAGGAGCATGTCTATACTGCCGTCACTGCTTTGACTGCTTTATGTAGACACTCCTACGGGCATGGACAGATAACTTTGGGGGCAACGGAGCATTACAGAAACGTTATATGAAGCGAAGGGACAAATGACACAGGGCACCACTGAGCTACACATCAGCCTTAGCTGCAGGTTAACTTTAAACTAGCCAACTGCACAAATATTTATCCAACTCCCAGAGCCTTTCTAGGCTGCTGAGAAGTAGACCTGCACTGTGAGGTCTCTCTCAGCAAACTGCCATGAGAACCCGGAGTCTCAGGATCAGCGGGGTCCTTATGAGAAGGCATCGGAGCAACCGCACACAGCACCTGTGTGAGCCTAAATGATGGCTCTGCCACTTACAGGATGCATTCAAACCTGTCCAGATCAGCCCCGGTGTCAGGAAATGGCAGCTGCCTCAACTTAAAAGCACCTTCATACTATAGCTAAGTATTTCTGTGCCTGCAGGGAAGACGAACAACCCTCAGGGCAGACCTGTCACACTGTCATGTCTCAACAAGACTGCTTTTCTTACTGCTTTTATTACGCCCTTCACCGTAGCAAGCAAGGGGGCTCCGCCTCAGAGTTTATCTACACCAACGTTTCTCAAACCGTAGGTCACGACTCAAAAGTAGGTTGCAAGGATATATGAAAGGGTTGCAACAAACTTTAAAAAACTGATTGTCCCTTAAAGGAGAAACATGTGGGAAACCGTGGCTTTCCCCTTCCAGCCTGCAAGAGGCTGCTTGGGGCCCCACTCCCCTACCCTCTGCCCCTCACACTGGGAGGCAGGGAACAGTGGGTCAGGACTGGCCATCGGTGTTTACAAATGGGTCCTGGTACAAAAGACAACCACTGGTCTACACCACAGATTCTCACCTGCACCAGGTGGGTTTTGGGAGGCAGGGGCAAGCAGAAGGGGTGGCCAGTCCCAACCCGGCCCTGGAGGAAGAGGGGTGGGCTTTGAGGCAGCCACGATCCAGCCTAGGGTTCCCAGCCCCGACCCCCTGAAACATGGCACCAAGGGACCTGACTGGTCCCCCATGCCCCCACCCCATGGAGGCAGCCGCCCCC